CTTCATCAGAGAAATCACCACACAACTTCGGTTTTTCAATAAATAATTTGAGTTCGAGGACAACATTCTAACTTCTGTCGAGTTCAGGAGCTGAATTGAAAACTCGATGACGGGAGGACGTAATCGATGGACCATAACAAGTTAAAGGACTAAGAAGAAAGTCTCTAAACCCTCAACAGGAGGCCTCTCTGGTGAAGAAGGGCTTCTCTATTCTGGGCAAGCAGGCGGCAATAATCTCCATTTTTATTCATCGCCAAGGTAAGGAATTGGAACCCAAAAAACCCGGAGACTTGACCCAACAAATTAGCAAAGCGGGAACCCACCACCGAATTTTCTGCTTGCGATTTTTTTTTAATCAAACTTTGCATCAAAAGGTCTCTCTATTTTCTCGTTGTGCTCTTAACTAAAAGAAGAAGAAGAAGAAATGGGAAGAAAAGAGAGAGCAAAGGAAAGAAGAGAAAAAAGACTCCAAGAAATATCTCTTCTCCGTACCATTCCTTACTCTGATCATCAAAGGTATGTATTTTTTTATTCTTTTAATTCATTTTCTGAGAATCACAATTTACGTCTGATTTTTCTGGTAAATTTTGTAATAAGTCAAGAAATTAATGTTTAGGAGGTGATGCTGATATTGATTTTTATCAATTTGTTTCTAGAAAAAAAAAAGCATTGGGATTCATTTTCTGGTCTTCTGCTGTTGTTTGTCGGTGATCGATGAATGATAATATATAGATTAGGTGGTCATGGCAGCCGTTTTTCGACATTGATTCGAATAGCTAGAGGTTACTGTATTAATCTAACTAGCTGCTGTGATAAATTGAATTCCGAGTCCTGGATGATAGTTGATTCTGGATATCTGCTTGCATTGATTCAAATAGCTAGAGGTTACTGTATTAATCTAACTAGCAGCTGTGATAAATTGGATTCCGAGTCTTGGATGATGGTTGTTTCGGATATCTGCTTGCTTGGAAATTCGAAGCGGGCTGCTGCGTTGAATTGCGTGAAGTTACACCAGCACTGGGCAATGAAAACCCGCCTTTATTTTTAGCGAAAGATTTTATATTTGTTTTTTTATGTATATGTATGTTTTGTAGAAAAAATACTGTTGTTTCAAGAATGAAATTCAAACTAAACGAAAGATGCAGTTGCCTTACATTAAATGTTTGCTGTTTCTTTTTTATGTTAAAATACTTTCTGGCCATCTCTTATCTGCATTAACATGAAGCAGTGCGTGTATTAGCTTAAAGATGTTGATAGCTGACCTTAGTTAAACATGTTTGCACTGCTATTTTTAAAGTGTAGTCAAATATGCAAGATAAGTATATGTGTTTCAGAAATGTGGTTCACTTTAGTATTCTATGAACTTGTTTTAGAAATGGTTTGAAAATGCTAGTGCATTATTTTTATCTATTCGTTCTGTTGCAAAACAATTCGGTTTGGTTTAATTCAACGGTCAAATGCCTCCACCTCTGATTTCAGTGTTTAGGTGGTGTTGTGTTCATGATCAGAGTTCTCTGTTGTACATGTGGACTGTGAACTGCAAACTAGAGTCTTGGGGGATATGGTTTGTTAGGGGCTTAAGGTATTCAACTTTAGGATGTGGGATGCTTCATGCTGATCCAAGTCAACTTTAGAGTAATAAATTTGGTGGAATGTTTGCAGGTGGTGGTCATCAGAAACTGTCGCTGTGGTGACTGGTGGGAACAGAGGAATAGGATTTGAGATAGCGAGACAACTTGCAGACCATGGATTAACAGTTATCCTGACATCACGAGAAAGTAGTACTGGTCTTGAAGCTGCCAACGTCCTGAAAGAGTTGGGTTTGAGTGTGGACTTCCATCAACTTGATGTCCTAGATTCTTTATCCATCAAGAAATTTGCTGAGTGGATAGAACAAACTTATGGTGGAATAGATGTTCTGGTTAGTTGACTGTACTTTACTGTTCAGTTCTGAAAATAGTTATACCATAATTCCATGTCTTATGTATGTTTTTACCTACATATTGTCCTGAATTTCTTTGACATATCTTATGCATATTATTCCTTTTGCAGGTGAATAATGCTGGTGTTAATTACAATCTTGGGTCTGACAATTCAGTTGAACATGCCCAGAATGTTGTTGCTACAAACTATTATGGTACCAAAAATGTCACTCAATCTCTGATTCCTTTAATGAGACCTTCTGCTGCAGGTGCTCGTATTGTTAATGTAAGTTCACGGCTTGGAAGACTAAATGGCAGACGAAATGTAAGAAATACTTCCCATCTTCCTTAGCCCTCTTTCTAAGACATATGATGTGATTCTGCTTGAGCTATTTAGGGTTGAATTTTTTTTTTCAATACATGTTAGACCAATGCTATGCATGTGCAAGTAAATGTATTCTTTTAATTGGGAGAAGTCTGGACCATTTTTAAAACACAATTCATGCCAGTCTTATTGTTGACCTGTCTCCTTGGAATGGATGATGCTATTGAATCCTTGGACTGGCTTTGGCTTTTATCTGCCTTCTGCATTTTTACTAAATGAATGGTCCTTCTTTTGCTGCAATTTGAGCACAGAGAGTTATTGTGCTGCAATTCTTATTTTCATAGAATAGGATCAGAATGAGACAGAAAAAGGAAGGTCATGCACTCCACCCTGAAGCACATATCCAATCCCCACCAAGAACCACAGGCATAGAAAAGGGGAAAGAAATAAAGAAGGAAAATAAGATGCTCCATTGTCATTGCATTGTATCTATAGCTTTTTCAATGTGTCTGTGCCTGAGATTCAGCTATTTCATAAAGAGGGTTGAGAGTGATGCAAGAAGTTAATTCCTTTTAATGTTGAGGTGCATGTTCTTTTAACTTTATTGAGCTAATCATAGTTTGGATGACCTTAACAGAGACTCGAAGACAAAGATTTGAGAGAAAAACTGGCTAACCTGGAAACACTTTCAGAGGAACTCATTGATAGGACGGTATCTACTTTCCTACAACAAGTAGAAGAGGGCACTTATACTTCAGGTGGGTGGCCTCAGATGTTCACTGATTACTCAGTGTCAAAACTTGCAGTTAATGCTTTTACTAGGCTAATGGATAAGATGCTGTCTTATCGGCCTGATGGTCAGAAGATATATATAAACTGCTACTGCCCAGGGTGGGTGAAGACGGCCATGACAGGTTGGGCTGGTAATATATCTGCCGAGGATGGAGCTGACACTGGAGTATGGCTTGCCCTGCTTCCAGACCAAGCAATAACAGGAAATTTTTTTGCCGAGAGACGCGAGATAAACTTCTAAGGCAATTTGCGTGAAAGATGCTCTCAGGTTTGATGACTGGTTATGCTCTTTTGATCAGCTGCTCATGCATTACATCCAACGGTTAGAGGTTAAATCCAGTATAGACTAGAGAGGGTGTCATCAGCCTGCATTTTCCAACAGAGGGGTTGCCTTGTCGATTCTACTTGAGAATGAAAGCAAGCTTCTGTGCCAATGGCATGGAGATGCATGTACTTGGATTGCCAACGTGCTTAATCTCTAGAAAGAGCATTTCAAGCACCATCAAATATCCAAGTTCCCTTGAAAGACATTCATATGTTTGATGACATCATCCATGCAAGTGATTGGTCCCGAGAGATAACCAAGTCGCCCAAGCTACTGTGATTTTCAGCTGGTTAAACTTGAGCCTTCTCATTCAGTTGTTACCTCGACTGATTTAGTTCAAGCTTTGTGTTGAATGTGCCTGGAAAATCTTGAATTGTTCTGGTATTTAAAGATATTAACTCAATATTTTCCAGGTGATAACAATCCAAGGTTTGCGTTGTGGTGTTTGATATCTGCAATTTTTTGGCCTTGTCTGCTCAACAGAAGGGTTTCCAGAGACACAGACTGCACTGAAGAGGCCATTCTCAGATTATATCAGAACAAATCATTTCATGAACACGCTCACATTCAATCAGTTACTAATATTGACAAACTAACCATATGTTCAAATAACTATTTTTCTCACTATCCTCCCCTTCTCTTTTCTACATCTTTAAATTAATAATTTTTATATCTGCTACTAAGAAAAAATATTGCAATTGCAGAAATGTTTTTTTTTTCAATCTTATTTTAACAAATATTTTGAATAATTCAGTTGAATTACTCATCTCTGGTTGATGCTCCCAAGTCAACCAAAGTTTTCGTTTGCTTACGAAAAGGAAAAACGGAAGAATATCACGTATCTCTTGCACCGAGCAAACACGTAGCATGGCATCCAACCGTTAACTGTACAGAACCCCATCGAAGACGGCATGCGTTTTAAAATTTAACCTTAATTTGTAGAATAATTCTCGCAGGTCTGGTAACAAGATAATTCAATCCAACCTTAAATTAAATGAATTTTTTTATCTATTTATTTTCTCTTTATCATATATAAAAAAAAGGTCTTAGGTTCTGGAAAGAGGATATATTTATCATCCAAACCAAGGATATATAATCTCTCTCATGTTATTATTTCAAATTTAAATTTTTAGATACAAATTATATAATACAATAAAAATTAAATTCTTAAAATTAAATTATTAAACGGAATCAAATTCATATTTACTTTTAAAACATATAAAAAATCAAGTTGGATAAATTTAGATAAGTTAACAGTCAACTCACATCCATATAATAAAACAAGACTAGTGATTGTTTAAAAGGTTTCTATCCAAATAATATTGTTTTAGTTTTTTATTTTTAAATTTAAAATAATATTATTTTATTAAAAAATCTAATAAATATAAATTAACTCGCAAATTAACCAACTCAACCCATATTCGGAGCTTCAAGTCATGGGTAAAATTGGATTACAATGCCCTTACATCAAAATTTTCTTAACAAATTAATCTTTGACTGGTTAGACTGTGCTAAGAGAATATCTCATTCAGCTGGACGGTATCCGTTCTCAATTTGCTAATGGTCAAAATCAATAATTGAATTTAGTGGAGCAACGTGGAAAATCCAAGAAATCAATTTCCCTTCTCATTCGACATTAATATGGGCCTTCAAAACTTTTATTAAGAGTTATCAGCGCTGAATCATGTAGCTTGGCGTTGCAGTCCCCATCCATGGCATAATGTTGGTCAATATCTCCAGAGACAGGATCTGGTGTAGTATTATAAGTTCCACAGTCAACAAGCTCGATGTCCTTGAACAATTCTGAATCCAAATTGGTAGTGAGAAGTATACTATCCTCATTCTCTTGTGAGCCTGCAGCTGATTCAGAGGCAGTCCCTGAAGTAGTGCAGTCACTACTGTTGTTAATGGAAATGACTTTGTCAGAACCCGAACTGAAATCAGAAGGCTCAAGGAGATTCCATATAAGATCCACATCGATTTCGACTGGAAAATCCATTCCACTATCAGTAGTTGAACCATCAGCATTCCAATATGAAGCAGAATAATGAGCACCATCATCTCCTACAATGGCAGAATTCTGACCGATTTGATCACCACCCAAGCTAGATGAAGAATCATCTTGGGGTTTAGGCTCTAAAGCCAAAAAATCATCGGATCTTGGCTCAACAGCAATGCTTATACCAAGGTTCCCAGTTGCGTTATTCATCTTATTCTTGGCCTGACCCAACAAACTTTCTAGGATATCTACAACATTCTGTAACTCCTCAACTGAAGTACTAGACCGCTCAATCTCCTCTAAAGAATCCCATAAAACCCCTCCACCATTTCTCTTGTTGTTTCGCATTAGAGTATTAACATCACCCTCCAATGCCTTGATTTCTTCATAGAGGGAATTACTGGCTGACTTGATTCCTGCTTCGTATGCTACTGCTTCCGGGGCTGCAGTAAAATTGTAGAGGAACCTGTCGAAGACAGCATCAACGGAAGAGTGGCCAAAGGTATAAACTTTTTCTTTAGACCCAGCTGAGGAGACCATAATGGCAATTTGAGCATCACAAATCCTGCATAAATCTGCTGCTTTGTTGAAAAGACCTTGACGTCTCTTAGTAAAAGTAACAGACCTTTGCTCTGCTGTTTCTCGCTTCACCATTGGAATTTTTCTTGTTCTCCCCATGGTAAACAACTGCAGATAGCCTTGATGGGTTCTTCTCTTGCAGCAGAGTTCTTATTTTGTAAGAACGTGTCTACTTATATATAGTAGGAAACAGGAGGCTATGTGGACTGGAGCCCTATCCTTATGGGTATGGGACTTCTTCCTTCCTTGAAGAAAGGGGACAAAATAACAACCCACAGCGTTGACAGCGTTGGCCGAAAATAATAATATATATTATAGTATTTACAAATTATTTTTTAATGAATTTTATCGTTAAAAGATTCTCTTATATAATACAAATAAATATATAAAGTATATTATGTGAATCACAAATTTATTTAGAACTGCGTCAATTTTAATATAACAATATTGAAATTATAATTTTTTAAAATGCTTTTATTTTGAAAAAAATAAAGAGGAAAAAAATAAAAATCTTAATTTAAAATAAAGAAAAAATAATTTTTTTAAAAGTATTTTTTTTTTAAAAAAACAAATATACTTCAATAAGAAAATTCAACTTAACCCCAAATAAAAAAAATCTCATTTATTTATTTATTACCATATAAAAAGAGAAAAAAAAAAGTTTAGGGTGCTGCATGGATAAGACCCAACACTAATAGAACATTAATAGGTCTTGCTGGGCTTATTATTGTTGTTGTGCAATCAAACCTACCATCATTAAATCAAGTTAATGATACAAGCTGAATAAACTTGGATTGCTTACTATTGTTGTTGTGCTACAAACCTATCATCATTAAATCAAGTTGCTAATCAAGCTGAATAAACTTGGATTTGACTGCTACTAAGACATATGAAACTTGAATCTTGGTAGAAGGACCCAACAACTAGCAACATCTGAGCTCACTGTTTCTGTTGTGCTCCCAGACCCACCATTATTGGATCAAGCGGCTGAACGAAGCTGAATAAACTTGGATTTGGTTATTAGTAAGACCCATTAAGCTTCGATCTTAGCATTAAAACCCAACAACAGAGTATATATTTTTGCGCAATGTTGTTCGACAGCAGGATCCATCATTATTGGATCATGCTTGATAGAAGGATCCAGTAACAATGGATTTTGCTGAGCAACTAAACTAGAATCATTGGGTCATGATTAACATTACCAAAAACTGTAAATCAAGTAGGATTTCTACAATACATGCATTATGGATCATGAGAACATTAATTATATACTTGCATAATTGCTTTCCACGGCTTTTGCTATGCTTTTCCTTTAAGTTACTTGTGATACACACACACACACGAAAAACACTGTCACCCCAAACAAAGCTACGTGTAATCTCTAAAAAATAAAATGTCAGCAGCTCTTCCAATGCTGGAAAAACACGTAAAATCAGTTCAATTCGGCGTGCATAATGCTATTTGCGTTTTCTATGTTACCTTTTCCTGTACTTTGTGCATCCAATCATTCTTATCTTTTATTGGATCCTGCTGGGGCAGGACCAACGCCATTGATCAAAAAGAGCCGTTGTAATGTGCCTTTTTAGCTTGCGTTTGGAAACAGTAGGGATAATAATTTGTGTATATACATAAGATCGTTAATAATAATAATAATATTTGTTTGTAAGAGAATGGATTTTTATTATTAGTTGTAAGAAAATGCTGGATTCATTCAGCATTGAAAAAAATTAAAAAATGATAACGAAAATAATAGGTGGAAACGTGATGAAAGTAAAAAATGATATAAAAGCCTTCAATAGTAGTCAATGACTCCACTCACAAGTCTTGATACAAATAAGTCCGACAAACTCTTCAAATGAAAGGGCAAAGCCCAGAGAGATAATTCTAAATTTTAAGCTAAATGGCTGAGGAAGTGGGGATCCAAGCGTTGAACCTCCAACAGTTGTCAGGCAGAAGTTTTTTGTTTCTTTGGCACTCTGTAACTGCCAACGACGCAGGCACGGTCTCTCTTAAATCGATCTAATGCCACCATCTCTGCAGGCTTCAGCAGATCCGCCCTCAACCTGTCAACTTCACTATCGTATACTTTGCCAGCAGGCATGGTGGAGTCGATGCAATTTGCCTTCAAGAAAAAGAAATCGATTAGCTGCTTCAGATGGCTAAGTAATGGAAGGAAGTGCAGAACAGAGGAACAATTAAATGCTAGATTAAACCTTTATTGAGAGCACAAAAGGACCTCCTGTTTTCAGGAAATAAGCTGCATTCAAAGCTAATATTCTTGCCTGCAAAGGAAAGAATAGCAAAGTAATAGAGCAATGTTGCAAGGGAAACCTGACTGAACCAAAATGTCAAGAAGCACAAGAAAGCGTATCCTGTGTCTTCTTCAGCACCATATCTTATAGCCTAACTGTGTATCGACGATATGCATGTCTTAGCATTTAAACCCATGCTATCCTTCAAGTCACTGGCAAAATGAAATTGTGAAGACAGCAATATATATGACAGATTCACATGAGAATGAAAAGAGCTGAATTTTGAAACTATGTTAAGTGAATAAAAACATGGAGAGTGTAAAGTTAAAATCTTTTGAAAAAATATCTCAGTGATCGCATCAGAAAAAGGGCCAATTGTGCCTTCTGGTGAACCAACAAAACGAGAAATTGCATCAGAAGCTATTGTTGCATAATTTGCATGCTTAGCTGATCGTCATATGCATGATTTAAATTTAGGAGGATCCGAGAAGCAGGTTCTGTATCCGCTCTATAAAAAACTTAGAGAAACTAGTGAATTTGAAGAGAGAAGCAGTAGGTTCTGTACTCTCTCTATAACAAAGAACCAAAAGAACCCAAGATCAGAAATGTGCACCATTTAACAAAAAAGAAAGTGAAAAGGAAAAGGAACGAAGAAGAAGAAGAGTTCAAAATTTCAAAATAAGTTAACGTTTTTGTTATGAAAGAAGATTTTGCTAAGCATTGCATCAGAAACTCGGTGTTGATTTTACATCAAGTGGACACCGAGTGCATCGTCATATGCATAATTTGAAAAGCAGAAGAATTTGTCAACAATAAAACCTGACAGGACAGTAACTAGCACTCATTCTTGATATGCTTCAAGAATATAAGGTTTCTAACCACATTCCAAAGAGTTGAAAAGTCCCAACAACTTGAGACGCATTGAAGAGAGAAGGGAACCAAATTTGAGAAACAACTTCATATTAGCTCAAAAAGATTACGTTTATAAACCGAACTCTCGACATGTAATATAATGCTCAAATCTGCAATCCTTGTACTGGGATTTGTTCTTGCATGATCATCAGCTATGAAGGCTGTAAATGCACAAGAAGAACAAACCTGATCGGGCTGAGCAACATCTGAAAATATGACATCTACTATGCCAACTAACATTCGATACTTTGATGGATGTCTAGCATCCTCAATGATGGGCATGATATTTGTTCTCTTTTTAGCCATGTTGACCAAGTCCCTCCCACTTCTTTGAGAAAATTCCACTGCATACACTGCTCCAGTCTATCACAGATGACGGGTTAGAACATTAAAAGGAAACAGCCTATCTCTCTCTCTCTCTCTCTACACACACATACTGTTCACACCCAGGGCAAGAGGAAGCAAGCTCCAGCGCCACGTGATGCTCGGGTATAGCCCAGTACAAGGACAGGTAAGTTAAAATATCAGGTGTCTTCACAAGGGGGCACGGGTTTAGCTAACGTCCAGTGCAGCTCATCAAAACTTGTTTTTTCCTTAATTATTCCTTAAATATCAAATACATTCCGGTGAAAAAACAACCCCATTCCTCCTTCATTGCCCTTGTAACTCTTCGTTGTAAGGATTTAGCTGTTATTACATTGTTTCAATTCACACTATTTCAATTCATAATCTGAGTCTGGATAAATAATAAATAGGACACTAAAGCCTTTATAATAATATAACAATAATATAACATAATAATTCATATTTTTTTAATGTAGGATAATAAATCTTTTTAATTTAAATACAAAATAAAATGACATGATAGATTAAAAAACTAAAAACTAAAAAAAATTAAAACATTTTTTATTTTATTTTGTTTAAGATTTTTTTTAGAAAAAAATTTAATTATTTGATTCACAAGCGAAGCGTGGATCACATAGCTAATACTAAATCTATTAGAAAACGATGTTATTTTATAGTTTTTTAAATAATAATATAATATTTTTTTAATTTTTTTATAAATAAAACAATATTAATTTGATTTTTTTAAAAAAATTTATTTAATTCCATGTTAATCAGGTTTGTTTGATTGAACTTGTCAAATCATTTGAGTTTGATAAGTCCAAAACCTAATTCGATTTGGAAACAAACATCACTCAGATCATGTTCTAGATAAGATAGATCACCAGGTGAGCGGGGTAAACATGCAAAAGAGCTAAAAATTAAAGCACTCGAGAAGTTAATGTCTGATGAGTGTAAAAATCCTGAATTAAAGCCCCAAATTAATCAAATAATATAATCTTGAATAAACATCAAAGATTCAGATAAATGCCATCGCTAAGTATCTTTTTCTCTGCATCAATAGCTCCAATGTAGCTATCCATTAAGTTGTGCTTTGTCGGCCAAAGTAAAATCCCTTCCATGAGCCATGCAAGCAAAAGCAATCAATCGATCCACCAGATACCGGGTAATATTTCTCAAACCCATTATGGCTATAGCTTTGTTCCTAAATAAGAAACAGGAAAAATTATTGCAGCAGCTAATTTTTGCCTTGATTTGGAAAGAAAATCGGTGTTAGTGGTCATGGAAATCTTTTATATTTCCTATATAATAAAGGACCATTGGGTTATAGAAATATTATTGTTACATTGAGTGTTGTATTAAGTTTTTGGAGTTCTTAGTACTCTGCCATTAAAGATACTTTCTTCTTCTTTCTATTTCTTTGATTTTAATTTTTTTTTTTAGCTTTTATAGTAATAATAACTGTTATTTTTCATGAGAAAATTAGCTTCTTTATTTGTTTGGAAGGATAAATTCTAGCTTCTATTTCAAGGTTGCATGAGAGCTTAAAACTTTTTATCTTTTAAGCTCTTCCTTTCATATGCTTTATAGGGTTATATTTTTTTTTTCTTGATTTTAATTCTAATTCAATTTATGTTGATGTGAATTCTAATTCAATTTATGTTGATGTGGAACTTGTAAATATTTCTAGAAAGAGATAATTAATTTTTATTTAATTATTTATGGTGCAATGATTATTTGTACCACAATTCTTGTTTCAATTTAATTGTCTGAAAAGGGATATTTTGTTGCGTCTTTTTCTGTGCGCGATTATGCTATAGTGATTGATATTTTTATACAAGTTTTAGTTACTGCATCGATATAAAAGAGATGAATACACAGAAGAGATAGAGATAGAAAACACATCATAATATATCTATATTTTTTTCGGTTTTTGATTTTTGTTATGTCATTGATTCTTTGTGTTTCTGATAATTGTCACCAACGTGCTAGATCAAACAATGGGTCAAAAAAGAATCAAAATGGAATTGATAAGGAAGGAGAAATCTCGTATGCTTACATTCAGGAAGAGGAAGGCAGGTTTGCTTAAAAAGGCTTCTGAGTTCTCTATTCTCTGCGGTGTTAATGCATGCGTAATAATCTTTGGACCAAAGCAAAAGGATGATCATCAGCCTGTATCACCTGAGACTTGGCCTCCAAATTCTGAAGAGGTTAGGTGTATTATCAATAGGTACAAGGGCAGTGATCAACCAAGAAGATGTTATCAGGTCTCTGACTACTTCGCTGATAAAAAGAAACAGATTGATTCTGAGCTTGCAAGATTGCACAAGCAAATTATCAAAACTAAGTACCCTGCATGGGATGATCGTCTCAACAACCTTTATGCAAATCAATTAGGGGTTCTTATTGATCATTTGAATGCTAAAATCGATCTTGCTGACAAGAAACTTGGAAGTTTCAACACAAATCAGTATGTCATGGTTGAACCAGGGGTTCAAGTTGCCTCGCTTAGTCCAAGCGTTTCTCACGACATGGAAAGCTACATGAAGAGCAGAGATGACAATTTCCTGCAGCTTATTCACAATTCGAATCCCTTTGATGCTCAACCACCTATGGTATTCTACCCTGAGCAGAGTTCTCACGTGACCAACTTACTGGAGAGGAAGTATAGCAATAGCTACTCAACAGACTTGCAGGTTTACTGTGAACCAAGGCCTTTAGATGATCAGTTACCAGTCGGTTTCCAATCTAAACAGACTTCTCATGGGAATGCAATTTTTTGGGAGAGCAACAATGGCAACTGCTATTCAACAGACCTGCAACTTTACTTGGAACCAAATCCATTGAATGTTCAGCCACCAATGCATTTCCAACCTAAGCAGAATGCTCATAGGACTTCATCATATCTACATGGAATGGAAGATGCGATTATAAAGATGGCTTGCGATCAAAATACCAGCGATCAATTTGGTTGTAAGCTGTCTAGTAGTAGTAATCTGCCTTGTGTTAACCGCACAGCATGGATGTGGGATAATGTATGGTTCAACAATGCCGATTCCTCAGTAAGCTATATTGCTCCAACCAAGCAGCCAATTATGCCATCTATACAATTTCCCATGTCAAGCTCTCCTCATCAGATGCAGTCTTCTGAAGCAAGTGATTTCACTAGTAACCTAATTGAGTTTAGAGGGAAGGGTCAAGGCTACAACTAGATGCATGCAGGATTTTAATTTTTTTCCCTCCCAAATTATGCTTTAATAACTGTAAGCTACCACTTCAGGTTTCTTGAACAGCTTTGAATAATAGCCCAGATCTAATTACAGTGATTTTTAGTTATACATTTTAAATGTGTATATATATAGAAAGAGACCATCGAAGCTCTCTCCCAAGTCCCTTGCAAAAACGTTGCTTTCTCCTTTAAAACCCACCTGTAGCTGTTTGTTATCAGTCAGGTTTTTGTTCTTGTTTTCGTTTTCTATTTTTCTTATTTTTTTTTTTTTAAATTAACGTGGGTGTCCGGGCCAGCTTGCGCGCACCACGACTAATTTCACGGGTCCTGAAGTTAACGACCATATAAGCCTCCAGTGACCATCATATGAGCAACCAAGGACTCGAACCTGAGACCACAGAGGGAGCAAACCCCTTGATCCCAAGTCTTTATCACTTGGCTACCACTTAGATGGTTATTCTATTTTTTTTTATTTTAATTGCCTTCATTGTTGGTGTATGTTATTTGCGTTTTCTGGGTAACCTTTTCTTGTACTTGCACCCAATCATTCTTATATTTTCTTAGTCCTGTTGTCACGATCCAACAATCTTTTTTTATTTATAAATAGAAAAGATAATGTCCCTATAGATACTACAATGTCATCTACAGTATAATGAATTTATATCTATAGTAAATATATAGTGTTTTTCGTGTATATATAATAATAATAATAATAAGTAACTTAAAGAAAAAGTAGAGTAAAAACCGTGAAAAGCAACTGTGTAAATCTATAATTAATTGTCTCTTGATTCACAATGCACAATGCATTTCAGAATTCTGTTAATAATAATAATAATAATAATAATAATGCTAATGTTAATAATAATTTAGAGTTTCTGTTAATAATAATATAATATAATATTATAATGAAATATCTGTCAGGATTACTACTAATTATTTTTAAAACTGGAATTAGAAGAGAGGATAATTGAATTTTTCTATTTAAATATAATATTTTTAGTTTTTAAAATTTATACTGGTTTAAGAAACATATTTTAGATGTTTTCTGTAATTTTTTCTATAACTTTTATATAAAAAAGACATGAATAATACAATTTTTATACACAAGCATTTTTAATTAGTGTTATAAAAAATTAATTTTTATTATAAATTTAACATAAGTATTTTTATTAGCTAACAATATAACCTTTTTATGATAATTTCTAATTTGAAGAAAATAAAATTAATGTTTTTTAAAAATAAAGAAATAAAACCAAGTAATTTGATTAGATTCAAATTCTTTAAAAATTAAAATTTAGTTTTATTGATTTATTTTATTCCAAACCAAATTTTCAAGCTATATCTTATTTAATTTAACAGTAAATAAAATATAAAAACAATCTATTAACAGGTATTACTTACTGTTAAAGCGATTGCCTGACATGAAACGAAAGGCTGAGAACGGCCCAGCTAATAACACTGCAAAATATAATTATTTAGCCCACAACACAGAACCAGAACCTTTGAACTGACACTTAAAAGCCAGCTTCCTTTTTGGATTCGCGACAACAGGAACTTCAATCAACAACTTGGTGCTTGCTATAATTCAGACATTCGATTCCCTTCTTCCTTATCTTTAACTCACTGAGTCCCATGATGGTATTGGTGGTGGCTGTTTGGTTTTTGTTTAGAGTGGAAAAACAGTGAAATTGCGTTGTGTATGTTCTTTTGTTTTCTTAAATGGTAACGGGTTTGGGTTCGGGCTCAGGGTCCGATCCGACTTCAGACTCAAACGGGTGGGGACGAGCTCGAGGGTTAGCGCTGAAGTCTCTGGTTTTCATTGGTGGGGTTTTACTAGTGAAGAGACTGACGAAGTCTACTACTCGTTGGGACCATGCGAAAATTGTAACTCAATCACTTACTGGTGAAAAGGTAACGTTTTTATGCTTCTTCTTTGTTTTTTAGTGATTTGGAATTCTGGGTTCGAGTTGAATATTGATTTTGATCTTCTTTTTTCTGGTAGTTTTCGAAGGAGCAAGCATCTAGAGACCCTGATAATTACTTCAATATCAGGTACTTTTTTTATTGTTTTGTTTATTTTTTAATCATTTAGTGAATGTTGTGTAAATGATGAATTGGAGTTTTAATTGTTTTGGTGAAATGAAGGGAAGTTGTGGATTGGATTGGAAATTTTGATTGTTTTGGTGAAATGAAGGGAAGTTGTGTAAGTTGTGGATTGGATTGGAAATTTTAATTGAAGTTTTGATTTTTGTGAAGTGAATGAATTGCTTTCAGCAACTTTAGTTGAGGGTTTTTGTATTTGGTGCAGAATGCTTACTTGCCCGGCAGCAGAGATGGTGGATGGTTCAAAGGTTTTATATTTTGAACAGGTTAGTTTTGTTTACTGCACTGCTTTTAGGTTCAGGTGACTGATTTCCGATTTAGTGATTTTTTTTTTTTTTAGGCATTCTGGAGAACTCCTCAAAAGCCCTTTCGGCAGGTATGCTGTTTTTGCTGCTATCTATATCATTATCAATACATTCGTGTTAAGGTCTAAACAATGGCATTTGTGGCAGTTGTGTCCCTATTCAACTTGTTTTTTCGCTTAAGTTTGATATTTGCATCAATATATCTTGAGGGTGTTTTTTATTAGATTATTGTTCCTTGAAAATGAATTCCCACGAAAGGTTTTTGCTATCTGTATATGAAGTTTAAAAGGTTAAGTGGTTGACTGGTCCAAAAAGAAGATATTGTTGCGAAAATAATTTAAAATTTAGTTGTCATGTTATCCGCTTTAATTCCTTACTAGTTTACATACTTCATTCTCTGTTCAGTTTTAACAGTGCTTATGTTGGAGATAACTGACAAGTTTATTTTTGCAGAGGTTTTATATGGTTAAGCCTTGTCCAAAGGAGTTGAAATGCGATGTTGAGGTGAATTTCTTCTTTGATTCACTGTTCTATCAGTGCATAATATCTAACTGTGCTTCCTTATAATGTGAACTCATGTTTAAATTTGTGAATGTATCTCTCTGTTACTTTTTAGGGCGCACTTAGAAAATCTCCCGCATCAATATTGTTATACTATTAGTATAACACAGCTATACATATTTAGTGTTTGTGTCAAAAGAAGTGCCTTTTTGTTTTTTTTTTACACTGATTATATTATCTTCTCTATTAACAATTTTTATTACCTTTTGATCTTTTACAATAATGGTTTCTGAAATTTTATCAGTGTCATTAATTTCATCAGTGTTGTGATTCAATTGTTATTTACTCGAAAACATGTTCAGACTTACCATCAAATCTTGCATGGAATTCTTCTCATAGATGCTGTCATATGATTTCTTACTGTCATAAAACCATGAAAACTATGTATCATCCATGGATACAGTGCAAAACCATCAGTGTTGTGATTGAATGATTATTTATTTGGAAACAAGAATCTCAGACTTATGATCAAACCTTCTATTTTCCCTCTCATTAAGTTTAATCGGTGTTGTGATTCAATTATTGTTTATCTGGAAACATGAATTTCATTCTTGCCATCAAACCTTGCTTGGGCTTCGTGTTGATGCTGTCATAGTTTTCTTACAGTAATAAACCCACGAAACTATGCATCATCTGCGGATATAGCATGAAACAATTTTCCTTAAGTGCTTTTATTAGTGCAGCTATAATACTTCTTTGTGGATTCTCAATTGTAAAATTCTTATGAATGATTGACTCCTATCTCTTGTCCAGTGATTAAATTATTGCCTCTCCCTTTGCTTTCTGAGATAATTTTAGAACACCTTAAATGGTATACAAAACAATTTTTTTCTTCTTCTTATCTTCTATTCAATGGACAGGTAGGTTCGTATGCCATTAGAGATGCAGAGGAGTACAAGAATTTTTGCGATCGATCAAAGGACCAGCGCCCACTGCCAGAAGAAGTAATTGGTGTAAGATTTTTAGACACATTCAGATTCTGATTCTGATTCTGATGCTGATTCTGATTCCATGAGGTATTGATTTTATTGGTTTTTGGATTGAACTTTGAGGAAAACCTCAACTATGAATCTCTCTAAGTCTCTGATTAGGTGGGTCTTGAACCTAGGTGTGATCATAGTTGAGTCGGTAAAGAATGGCCCAAGACCTGCAACCTAATAACCTTGAAGTCTCCTTGACAAATTTGTTCAGAATACTCAAAATACTCAAAGTAAAGACCACATTTCTTTGTTCTACTAATGTAAACTAGATGGCTAGACGGTGCAACTGTTCCCCTGTCTCACGCCGCATCTTTTCTCCCTTCCCCATCCTTGTAACATACCTACATCATTTGGAAAACTGTTGATTTCTATAAAATGCTACATTTGCTTTAGAATAACTAGGGCAAAGCCTAGGAATGTTTAATGGTGACTTGCGTTTTGTCCTGATCTTATGAGAAACGATTAGTTTTAATTTTGTGAATAAATATTACCTCTGAGACTTAATGATTTTGCATTGTTATGCATGGTGCAGGACATTGCAGAACATCTGACAACAATACATCTCAAACGCTGTGACCGTGGAAAACGCTGCTTATATGAAGGCTGTACTCCACCTGGTGGATTCCCAAATTCCTGGGTACTTGTTTTTCACCCTCATACTCATTTATTAAGTTCTCTATTTTCTCAGTCCTTGCAGGCATATTTTCTGACACCTGATAGCTTTAGATTAATGCCACTTGTTTTTCTAGAAGAAGAAACAAGTTACATGGTATTAATATGGTCCTCCTTCCTTTGACAGAATGGAGCAACCTACTGCACTTCGGAACTTGCAATCTTGAAAAATAATGAAATACATACCTGGGATAGGGGATACGATGACGGTGGAAATCAGGTTGCTTTCATGGTTACGCTTTTGATTTGAGCATAATTTTATTTGGGAGTGAAGTTCGATCTTATCTTTCTTCTTTTTTTATTCCCTTCATCTTATCATTATTTTTGGTTACAGGTTTGGGGAGTGAAAGAAGGACCTTACGAGTTCAAGCCTGCACCATCTTCTAGTGTTAGTGAATTATTTTCTCCGTTAAACCTCCCCCCTCTCCAGTCGATGGAGAAAAGAATAGAAGGTTCATTTGTTTTGCAAGTGTGATCGCTTGCTACATGTATAATCAACCACGGCATGTAACGTATCAAACTTCAAATTATTTCACTAATCTATCTTGCCCCCCCGTCTGAGACCTTTCAGCAATTTTCTCTGGTTGTATTGTTATCCTGTTATATTGGTATTACAATTTACAATCAATGAACGTACCTGAATGATGGTTGAGGACTCAAGGGTTTAAATCATGATTACGAACAATCACGTTAGGACTTGAGAGGCATATAGATGGTGGCAAAACAGCTCAGAGGATTGGGCATATGGTGGGAATGCCCAAGTTGTAGCTCCAAGGAATCTTATATAATTTAGGTCAATATAATCATCTTCAGGGAATGGAATGTTTGTCTCTCCCCTTCTATTATTAGGCGATGCTATTTGTCAAAGTAGATGCACAAATTTCTGACTTTGTAGATGCTGCAAGCCCAGCAAGCTTTTGTCTTATCTCCAAATTACCACCTTGAGGATCTTTAAACAAGCTACAACTCCAACCACGACTGCGATAGGCAATGCTCGCCTGACAAGTGCAAATACAGATCATTAGTACGAACTACAGCAAATAAGCTATAAACAAAGTACTAAAGGAAGATTGCATTATTTCACCAGTTGTAAGGAATCATGCATACCCAATTGCTTCATCTCTCCGAATCTGTGTTTTACGTGCTTTTCGAACATCTGTGTCGTTATCATTTTTGGCCACAGCAGGCATGTATTCTCTAATTCTCCTTTTAGGAGCACCACAAACGGCAAAGCAATAATTTAATTCGGTATTTACCATAACCCTGCTTGTAATTGTCATCTAAAAAGGCCTTTGAAGGTTTGAAATTTGTCATCATCAATTAATTTTTTTTAATGTCGACTGCTTTTCCAGCATTTCCTTTATGATTGGATAGCAATGCTTAAATAAACCAATGAAATCAGCACTCTGTGGACAAGGCTATCTAGATTCCTGTGCATCCAGGACCAGTTTGCACTTGAAGTGAGGCAATTGTAAATGCAAAACATAACCACTAATAGCAGAAACTAGACATGATCAGTTGACTGCTTTGAGGGTTGGCCACAACGTATTTCTTACATTGGAGAATGAAGATTCAATTATCAGGTAGCTTTTCAAATGGTTTTTTGTCATTTTAAATATTCCTGCACCACCATGATTAATTAATCATATCAAATTCCATCCATTCAACTTTAAAATGCTAAAACCAAAGCAAGAAACAATAAAGAAATAAAAGGGGGGGGGGGGGGTCGAAAAC